TTTTTTCTACAATTATTCTTAAAAGTAAGTTTTTTTAATTTCATTTTACAGTATATCTTGTGCAGAATGATATTTTCCTAGAATTATCTTTATTCTTTTTGTACAAATTAATTATAGTATTATAACTTATAACCAAAATCGTTAAATACCTAAGGCCAATTGGGGCTAACTGTTACAATGTTAAATATTAATATAACTATAAAACTCCATTATAATCTAAATCAATTTGTATTTGTGTATATTAAACTATTAATTTATCTATGTTTTTTTTAAATTGTTTTGTACAAATGTGATTTAGTAAAATCAAGGTTAAATGTAATTTTATTATACTAGCAACTAAATTTTGCATATGTCTACTTTTAATATAAAAAGTACCTATTAATTATTATTATACATTTTGATTAAATATTCATCTTCAATATGAACTTTTTAGTTATAATTACCCACAACCTACTGATTGGACAAATGTAGTAAAGTCTATTATTATATAAAATTATTTATTGGCTTACTTGTATCATTTGACCTCAGGTATTGTAACACATTGCCCCGTCCTGAGGTAATGTGATATAATTTTTTTTTTTCAAATACTTTTTTAACTTCCAAATATTTATTTTTTTTATTAGTTATCATAATCATATCAATCATTACATGTGTATCTAATGAAAATTAAAAATTAGGAATTTATTTACTACACCAGTTTTGTGTAAAATAAAAAAAAACCAAAAGTGTATCATACAGCCCAATGGTGCCCAACCCGCGGCCAGAAGGCCACATGTGGCCCGCCAAGGTATTTTGTGTGACCCGATACAAATTTTTAAATAAAATAAAATGTTCTAAAAAAAGTAAAATAATATTAATTTATTTTATAATAGTAATGATAATAATAAAATTAAAACAATGTTTAATGTGAAGTTTAAACTTGAGTTTACTTTAGTAATAATGAAAAATCTGGTTCGAATTATGTATAACAAAATTATATTACTAGCTAAGATTGGGATTATTCGTACTTTTGTATTTGGTGGCCCGCTCGAAGTTTACCAAGTAGCACGCCGAATAAAATATTAGGCATTACTGATATAGCCCCTGCTCCCTCACCCGACCGAATTCGAGTCAACCAAAAACATTAATGAATTATTTGTAATACTCCAATTCTACAATTAAGGGGGATGGGATTGATCACTAATGCCGTGTATTTTTACGTACTGTTATTTCCAATTGTACGTATATATAGCCGTATAAATATGAGTAGTTTATGCGGTTTATCCAATAGTAGGTTTTACTAGAATTTCTTATCTAACAATTATTATTTTTAATAATATCACACACAAGCACAATGTATGTCAATTAAGTATTAGCATCTCGTTATTGACGAGTGAAAACGATACGACGACTACTGTATTATCACGAACGTGTATGATCGACTGCAGACAGTGCAGAACTGCGCACACAACAGTCGCTCTGCAGTGGACAATAAACGTCTCGAAAAATACGTTTGACTTTCCAGTCGCTGTAAACGGTTTTCAAAAAAAAAAAAAAAAAAAACGTACAACGACGGATCGACGAACGCTTTGTCGGACGACGTTTTTTTTTTTTGATTGCTGTCGCCTAGCAACTCTTTTTATTCTCCAAAATTCAATTCTCGTGACACATCAGACGCCGTCGCCCGGAGAGGTACGTGACAACATCGTTTTCGGGTACGCCGACGTACCGTACACTATTGCAACCGTCTGTCGCGTCTCTTCGCGACGTGCATCGCTCGCCAACCCCTGTGCGATCCGCGCCAGTCGCGCACGCGAACCACGCTATGCGACGGTTTTCGGCGGCGTTCGCGTTCGCCGTGCTCATCGCCGTCGTCGTCGTGGCCGTCGGCGGGACGCGCGCGACTCCCGTTTCACCGGCCGGCCGTCGCGACGTGTCCAATGACTGCGGCAACGGCGGCGCCGCCGACGTGATGGCCGCCGTGAACCAGTTCGAATCGCTCGTGCGGTTGGCGACCGCGTCGACGAAACGACCGTTCGCCGGAGCGTCGCCGGAGCGAAATGCCGCGATCGACCAAGACGTGGGACGTCGACACCCCGACGTGGCGGCCGTGACGTCTCAGCAACCGACGTGTGTGAAAAATAGCAGATCGTCCGGCGGCATCGGAGAAATGATGCGCCGAGCCATCGGAAAGTTCAAACACGACACCGGTCACCGGACGTCGATCGTACCCACATCGGTCAACGGCGGCGTCGTCACTGCTGCAGGTCGAGCAAACTGCCGTCTCTTATTAACGCGATGATCGATATCTGTGCGTGTGTGTGGGTGTATTTTTTTTCCTGTCGATTAAATTACTTCGCTCATACGTGCATACGTTTAATATAAGTGAATATATATAATGTCCACTACTCCTTTTAAGCCTAAGCCCGTGTTGGGGTAGAGATAGCCATAAAATAATGTCAATCGAATTGCACAATATGAGAAATATACCGACAACAACGAAAAAAAAAACAACTTTTCTACAAAACGCATAACAGATAAATTTAATTGACACAAAGTATTAAATACGTAATACGCAATTTTTTCTATGGTTTTGAGACCAACCTCATATTATACTTATTTTAATTTATTATCATTTTAAATAAAATTACTTTTTAAAATGATAAAATATTACTATTTAACAACATTATAGAACGCAGACTCTTACCGATTTGATCGTATTTCTGAAGATAGGCCACTTTTAAGCCATTTTTTCTCCATTTATTACATCATAACAAATTTTTTCTTTAATAATAATTTATTATGCGTGTAATGTCGGTAAGTACTGCGATTTCGTTTAAATACAGCTAGATTGATTGGCTGGAGATATTACTACGGAGCACGATGGTTCGTTAAGCTTTTATAAATGAATAAAAAACGTGCCATTTACCATATTATTGTTATTACTGCGTATTTAGCATTATTTTTTTTTATAATATTAAAAAAAAAAAAGCTATGCAAATGGGAACGAACCGTTTTGCTGTACATTAAGTATCGAGTAGGTCACTATTATGAGTGTGGCAAATTTCAATTCAATGATACATATGTATCGTTTAACATACGAGTATAATATACGAAAATTGATTCTGAGCGGGGACGGTCTATTAGCCTACAATATTACTAAGTAGTATATTACTTAATGAATTTTTTTTTTATCATAGCTATTAAAGCCATTTACTTTACTCTAATAGAATTATAGAATTATGATAGATCGATATAATTTTTTCTTGTATAATGTACCGTGCAGTATTTAATAATTATAATAATATACATTTCAAGCATATTAAAAAACTGTATATAACTCGAAATTTAATTTAATCTTTCTGTAAATACCATAAAACAGTAAAAATAGATTCAAAATATAAATATATATCTTACAATGAATCAAAAATGTTATTGTGTATAGTAAAATTCATCCTATAATAATATAATATGTGTAAAAGTTTTAAATTTCCACGAGTAATGTTTTTAAATTTAAAAAAATAACTAATACTAATATTTATTCTTTAAATAAATAATTTCGGTAACATTCTAAATATTATAAAAATATACTGTGATTATAGATTTTCGATATTTTTTAATTGGGATATTAACCATCTATAGGAACTTTGCATTAAATTGATCGATTCATAAATTGTTTAATGACGTTTATATCAAAAAAAAAAAATTAAAAATTAAAATTATTGTCTATTAACTTCTCAAAAAAAGTTTAAATATTTTGAAAATTATACCATACATAATGATAAAATAATAATATAAATATTTGGTGAAAATGATAAATTTTTATGGTTATTTGTTTTTAAATCATAACATAATAAAGAAATAAATGAAGTTAAAATCTGGTTAAACTTTTTTTTAATTTTTGTTTGTTTTTCCCGATTATTAAAAAAAAAAAACAGAGCATTTTTTATTTGGTCCTTTTACTAAAAACTAAATCCAATTACTATCCAAAATCACCCTCAATGTTGAAAATTGAAGTATTTTATCCTGTATTCTTACAAAAAAAAAAAAAGCATCATTGTAAAATCAATACATTCATCGCTTCGCTTAGAATCTATTGAATCTAATATTCGTTTACTCCTCTTGTTTTTTCTAAGTTTACAAACTGAAATTGGCATATTGAATATTTGAAACTCAACTTTTATTGAAAAACTTTTTCTAATTGGCTTTTATAGCATTAAATGCTATTATAGCCATGAATACTAGTCGTTTAAATAAACAATGATAATTTATTTCCAGTTAATTCAAGCCTTTTAATTGAAAACGAATTCCATAAAGCCTTTTTTCTAATTAAAATCACTCTAAAAATTGTTTAAATAATGAATATTAATAAAATTAATTAATTGCTAAACATTAACGATTTTTTCCAAAATTAAACTTAACCTTAACTCAATAAAAAAAACTAATAATAATTGGATTAAAAATAAACAAATTATCATAAATAGTAGAATGTTAACTTTGTATAATAATAACTTTAAATTGTGTTTAATTATTACACCACACATATTATTTTAGCATTTAAATAGATTTAACTTTTATATATTTTTTACCTAAAGACATATTTCATTTAAAAAAAATATTTTGATTAATAGTTTAAAATTTCATATTTCGGGCGCTACTTTAATGACGTAATAATATCATAATAGGAATTAAGATATATAATATTGTATCCTCATGTATTGAATCAAAATAATCTCACGCCATCCAAAACTTAAAAATAAATTTTATGAAATTTAACTCACCGATATGTTGATCTGGACTTAAATACAGGACATATTATACTTTATTTATGTCATATAAAATATTATGTCGTACAAACTATCATAGACAAAAACCATTTACCACCCGTCTAAAATATATATATATAACAGAAAAATATTGTGCGATATTGATATTAACGTGCACAGTACAATATAAATTATAGTAACAACTGGTAAAAGTATAATTTTTTTTGTTTATCATTTCCGATGAAAATGACGTACCTGCGGGAATAGAACACCTCTGTCCACCGTCGTCCTGTAAGTCAACGGTTCGCCATCCGCTCTGACCGAATGGTCCCAGCTGACAGTCCGGCTGCGTCTACGCGTCTGTTTCTCCGATATTTGGTTGATATCCATTACGGTGTATAATAGTATTATGTTATGATGATGATTTCTATCATATGTATAACGACGTGCGGGACGTGTACGAGTTTCTCCACGAGTGTGCCTGTTACGCGATTTTGATTAAACCACCTTGTTATGATATTAAACAGCTTTATGTATAGATTATCGTCACCGTCGTGCAAACACATTAACCCCGCTGTTTAATACGGAGTACTTAAGTTAATTAAAATTATTAAAAAAAATATATAAAACCACGTAGAAATAATACGTCAACCGCTTGGGGTTGGCAAAAAACCGGAATATTTCATCCAGGGTGTTGGAACGGCCTCCGATGTTTAATTATGCTAAAACGTTTGTGTGTGTATATACTGTATATATAAGTGTATAAATGTGTATATTTGTGTATATTATATTATACAGTGTGATTCATCAAACATGCTTACCTCCTGCATTTTTCATTTTGATACAAAATTCATTTATTCAGATTCTTTTTTTTTCTTGGAATTTTTAAATATACTTTTTAAGACCATATTTTCAAATCCGTGAGATTTTAAATAGTACTTAAGGACTGTCTTTTGACACAATAATACAAATTTCAGTTTTTCATTTTTTCAAATGGAAACCCTCTTTTTTCACTGTAAATTATTTAATTGGTAATTTATTTTGAAAATCGTTGATGTAAGTACCTAATTCAAAATTCAAACGAGTTATTTCGAAGTAGAGACCGATCGAAAAGAAACACTACTGCCATAGTTATAGTATTTTCAATAATATACTGTATGAAAGTCTAAGTTATACTATCCCTATTATCCCGGTACAACAGAAATGGACAATCGGCGGCCTGCATACCTTTTTTAACTGACTCGTGCTACGCTTTCAAATTATCAAATTATCAATTAGGTATAAGTATAAATAATAAAATAGTGTAAGTACAAAAGTTTTAAATCATATTGACCTTTGCTTTCTATGCTATCCGAGCCTCTCCGTCAATGTGTAAGATAACTCGAAAACTATTTGTTCAAATTCTGATGAATCAAAATGTTCAAAAATATATGTCCGCTAAATAATTTACAGTAGAAAAAAATGGTCATCATTTGAAAAACAAAAGTTTATTTTCTCCACAGAATACTCCTTAGTAGTAGGTATTTGATAATACAAGTATATCTTAAAAGTAACAAATTTAGATTTTGAATAAATCCATTATCCAAGAGAAGAAAAAAAAGGTGTAAGAATGCTTGAATGAATCACGCTGTATAAATACACGAACGATTATGACTACTCCTGAGGAAAACATGATGCTTGCGTGTAAAACACTTTCGTTCACACCTTAATAATTCACACAGACTATAGCAATTCCGTATATATATATATATATATGCAATATGAGTACCTACTGATGTCGTTATTGCGATTTCATAACATTATCATGCTCATTACATTATTGGTTTGATGCGAAAAATTATATGGCTTTATCTGTACAACACATTTCCCCGTTGCGCCGTAATCATTCTTACTATATATTGTATCGTATAATAAATTAATAAATATATATATATCACTTTTTAAACGTCACTATTTTATTACGAATTTTATGAGTAAATGATTTTATGACACATTGTGGTCTTACAACTCTGTGTATTTACCACATTTATTATGTGTACTTTGCTTTTACAATATTAGTTGTACGATTCTATTATTCGTTTACACGGGCAAACGTTAAAACAATATTAACTTACGAAAAAATAATCCACGCCCTCAACTAACCTGAAATATCGATATTTGACAGAGTGTCGAGTGTCTGTTGTTGATAATAAACGTTTTGTAATTGTAGTCCATTTATGAAAGAACCTTTTTATTTAAAGAGTATAATGTCCTTACGGATTACGTCAGAGTTTGGTTTTAATAGGTTAAAACAAGAAATAATTATATCCAAGATTAAAATTTTAAACTGTTTATATACCTACCTACATGATTAATAGATAATGATCGTCCACGTGGATACAAAATATAAACTTAAATTTCTATTATTTTGATAAAATAATAAATATTAAAACTGTCTGCCATTTACATTTTATTACTATTTGAAATAATACAAAGTGTTCGATTTTTCATTTTTTCGATATGACTTTACAAAATTTCCTAAAAGTTACAACTAATTTATTGTATTGTAATTTATTTACAAAATAATCAAGTTACAGTTTAATATTTATTAAAATTTATAGCGTCAATTAATTTATATCATAAAAAAAAACAATAAAACAATAAAAATGTACACTATTACGGTAAAGCAATTTCTAATGCAGAATGGACTCAAAATATCTAAATTTTTTATATCTATTTTTGAGTCTATTTTATATAATTTTTTTGAAAATTTCAAATGCAAATATAATCAGTTTGAACAAAAAAAAATAAAAAATCTGGAACACAGTCATCTAGAACAACTTCTCAAGTTTATTTTGGTAAAAAAATCATGTTTCTATGTCTCTCGAGAGTTGAGGAAAATGGGAAGTATAAAAGTATGTTTTTACAGTCAAATTTTGTTATCAGAACGGCCTCTTAATACTCTTAATACAATAAGAATACTTAAATATTCTAAAATAATAAACATAAAATTCGGTAATATACCTAGGATAATAAAATACTTAAAAAACTAAAAAAAGTTCGTTGAGCGATCAATTATCTTGGCGACCAATAATTGTATTCGCGATCAATTCGCCCGCGATTAATTCACCGGATACCCGTACCAACACTATAAAAAGTATAGAATAATTATAATATTTAAAATCTTTAATAAATCTAATCAATTTTAAAAAGTATAAATAACATATTTATTTTAATAAACTATATATAATGTATACAGGTATAAACATATGCAATAATAAGAATAATAAGAATAATAGTAATAATTTATTCGAAATTTTAATAATTTATACTATTTTATAATGACCATGTGAACAAATGTGTGCCACAGTTAGGTAGAACGTGTCACTTGTCGTCCGATCTATTTAAGGTTAATTTCATCGTTTTGACTGTGATAACTTGATGCTTAAACGATCAAATTGACATTTTCTCTCTAACGAGGTATATGGGTCGTAAGGCTGTAGTTGTGGTGGTGGTGGTAATTGTTACAAAATTGTTGTCGACTTGGCGTTCCGATGCATGCGCATGATTTGTTGTGCACAATCCACCGCTATCAGTTTACCCATGTGTGAGTAAACTCCTCATCACGATAGTCTGAATCTGAGCCCCTCTTGCTGCCCTGGTCGTTTTCGTCGTTGTGAGCAAACACCGTTTGTAGTCGAATGTCAGGTGATTCCTGATCACGTGGCCTCTAATCTCTTTGGCGCGGATGGTGACGGCGCGTCGACAACCACTTCGCAACGACCACCACCACTTTAACAGCCTTATGACCCATATACCCGTAAGTACTACAAATTTGTACATGGTACTACCATCGGTTTCGTCCTTAATCTTTTCGGGATTCTATATAACGCGCCAACGTGTAACATCCATGATCCTCGTTGGTAGATTAGATGTATCCGTACAACTTATCAAATTTGAACTGTCCTGCAGGCTGTAAGTCACGGTAAAAGTCATCCATAGACACGTGATACAGCAACGAATATGTTTAAATAATTTTGTACAGTTTTATATATTAATTATATTTTATATATAATATATAAAATAATAATGTGTGAGGACACATACCTAGATGTATCGATATACAACAGTTTTATTCGAGTTCCGTCATAGTATAACATGACGTTATAATAATAAATTAAAATCATACATCAGTGTCTTGCTTCGTTTGAGAACTGCAAGCCGTATGTAAATGGGCTTGCAGAAATCGATCACTTTATTGTGCAACGACACCGCCGCAAGATTAAACAGTAAATTGTTTGGAGTTAAAATACATTAGTCGTTTAGAAAATTGGACGTTTGGAAAATTAGTCGTTTTCAAATATTATGTAAAAATAATATTTTATCGTAATTTTTCTTAAAATATGATGTGTACAGAATTATCTTTGCAAGCTCCTTTAAATTTCCCATTGTTCTTTTAGCTTCGATTTTTATAATATCGGGCAAATGAACATGTAACATTTTATATTAAATTAATTAAAATTGAATATTCATCTGAATGTATTCTGATTTTTTTATATATATATTTTTTTAATTTTCAACACATTTTCCTATAGCTTTTCCATTATTTTTACTTTCAAAACGTTATAAATAGCCATCATGCACGAGCATATTTTTTCCTCTTTCACATTTTATAAAATCTAAAGGTATATTATTTATTTTTTTTGTATTTTTTTATTAAGTGTACGATTAGCACTAGACTACATCATCAATTACAGTCATCTGAAATGTGTGCACACAGTTCAGACATAGACTATAGAGGGAACAATTTATTAGGATCCCAGACAAATTACATCCAACAATATTTATTATCGTAATGCTCGTATAATATAATCGTATTTGTGTAATAATGTTGGTTGTACATTTTTACATGCTGTTATTCAACTTTTAATTGTAAAATGTGTACCTATAGATACTTATATATAAATATATAATGTATTATAATAATTAATAATGATTATTTTCCATTTATACGTGTACCTATACATAATGTTATTAAAACTGTATTCACGTCTCGCAAGGAAAACATATCACGACCAATTTTCCAAATGACCTATTGCAGACGACCAATCTTACTACAACCAATTACTGTATTCGCCGAGAGTCTGACAACCAAAGCGATCCATACACGAATGTCATGTTCGAGATCCACATCGCTTACATAGTTACTCGGTCAACGTGCTATAATAGAACTTATCTACGAATTCGGAGCCGCGAAATATGATCAGAATCCGCGTATGTCAAACCGTTAGAGCAACTCTACCAGCACACCGTCCGCGGCAACTACTCTAATATTAGGAAAAGAAGTTCCAGGAAAAAGAGTATCAAATAAATTAATATAAACTATTATAAGCATAATTTCTCATATTATATTATGTATATCTACGTAAAATAATATGTATAAAAATTAATGTTACTATTATTCTTATATACCTACTTTTATAA